AAAGTCAAGGACAATCTTTGAAAATTGTTGGGCTGTTTCCATCACAGACTGTTTTTTCTCATAGACAACTATATGTTGCGCTGTGCAGCATCACCTTAAAAAAAGGTCTCAAAATTATTATTGCTCACAATAGTGACATGCCTTACATTTATAAAAAATAAAAAAATTAAAAAAATTAAAAAAAAAAAAACATAATTTATAAAGATGTTTTGAAACATTTACATGAAGGTATGCGTTTGGGTTATTATTTTGTCCATTGTTTATTTTTGTAAATATGAGTCAACCATTTCTTTGATAAATAAGCTTATTCAATTTTGAATTTAATTTGCTTCCGAATTCTTTCATTTCTCTATATTGCTGAAGACAATGCCAATTCGTTTTCTGAGGTCGTACCATCCAGGAAACACACTTCAAATCAAAGTCTGCAAAACATGGGTGACAAAGAGCATCGAAGATGATCCTCAGCCTACAAGTCTTGATTGTGTGTTCGTTGATAAACAAGTAAGATTTTTACACTTTTTTACTTATCGTTTGATAGTAGCATTTTTATGTCTTCAAATGTGCACACTATGTTCTTAGTATAACAACCTTTTGTAATCAAACATATCGTAAAGTTCATAAACAAACTACTCTGTGCATTTCGTTGCCCAATTCTATCTCGCCTACAAATAATTAACATTTGTTTGGTTAATTGTTTTGCTAGATTCAATCTTGGGCCTCAACCTTAATTTTTATGCTGGATTAACATTTTCATGCAGATGGAAAACAAATTAAAAATCCATTTTCTCCACATAATAGCACGAATTGGAATACATTTTGTTCTTAAAAGAAAAGATTCAAAGTTGGCCATGGACACTTTTACTCTCTTTGGATTTCACTAGAAAGATTATATTTTGTTCTATTTAAGGAAGATTTTTTTTTTAACTATACAAATGAAACCAAGTATGAATTATCAATTTTTTTTTCCTTAAGTTGGTTTCTTTGTTTTTTGACCTATACAAATGAAACTAAATTTGATTTTACAAAGTTACTTCGATTGCTACCAATTTGATTCTGAAATCAATCTCCACTATTGTCCTGCATATAATCTTAAATGCATCTCTGTAGCCACGACTGTACTATACTTATTGTTAACGTGATTCTTAAACAATCAATGTTGAATATTCTCCTGCTATTTTAATATTCTATCTAATTTTGATTTTTTCCTTCTAAAAAGGGGATGCAGTTCACGCAACCATGAACACTTGAGACATCCCTTTTTTTTTACCATCTGAGAATCGGCCACGCGTACGAAATCAACAAATTCTTGTCGTTCACAACAGGACATCAAGCAAGGTTGTCCCTCATGCTGTCATAGTTGAATTAAACAAGAAAACCATAATCGTTCATGTTGACAAAACAAGCCAAGAAATCCTAACGTAGTGGTTCAATTTAATTGAGTTTGATCAGCTTCAAAAGAGAATTGATAGGGATGCCAAGCTTACAGGAAACGAATTTAGTTTTAAGCGCTGCTGCAAAATCTGAGATGATCATTTTAAATTTGTTGACTTTAATGTATACTCATTCTCGTTACTAAATATCGTCTATAGATGTATTTGGTTGCTTAACAGCTGTATAGCCGACTGAAGAGCTCATTACCTAGAACATAAGAATTGTGAAGAAAAGAAATCTTAACTTGCAAAATATCAGGAAATTGTGCTTTCGTTAAATTCTTATTGCAATTTTCACATGTAACACCGTGTTTATGACATATAGAAAACTTTCACTTTTTTTTATTAATCACATAGGCACAACAGTAAGGATCACCTTATGGAGAGAGACTGCAACAAGTTTTGAGGACAGTGGAATACAATCACTTTTGCCACCTATATTCGTTACTTTGACTGGCCTCAAAGTAAAGCAATACCAAAGTTATACCCCAACATACCTTATTTAGCTACTTCAAATTTCAGTTTGTTGATTGTTATGTTTTATCTATAGGAAAACCTGTTCTTGGAAACGCAAGATCAACCGTTTCTGTTTTCAAGCCAGACATTGCACAGCTCTCCGAATACAAACAAAAGTAAACCAACAACCCTTCTTAATAACTTTCACGTTTATATTTTTTCAATTAATCTATCTCGCCCTAAACATGCACAAAACAAGTTTGAGCATATAAAATCATATGTTCAAATCCTACCCACCTTAGTTGAGATGTATGCAGGGCGTGCTATCAGTGCTGAGTTTGACTTAAAAACGATTGACGAGTTGCTTTTACTTGATCCTGCGTTGCACAAGGTTAGTATGTTATCACCAACCTGTTAACAAAAATTGCCTCTTTTTAAAGTTGAATTTTCGTCATGCATCTTGCTTAATTGTCTCTTGGCTTGTTTCCTCTATTTGTTTATACTTCATGTTTATGAGATGATGGTTAAATGTCTTTAATGATTTGAGAACCCTATGATTTCATAACATAATGCAAGTTTTGCATGCCAAGCAACTATTGTTGGATTCGATTTAATTAGGGGTTGGTGGTACAAGTCATGCTCGTCTTGACATAAAGCTGTCAAGAAAACGTCTTGGTCGTTTGAGTTCCTGAACATGATTTCATAAAAAAAGTTATTTGAACCATGGTAATGTTCTTTTACACCTATTTTACATCTACGATTATACTAAGTTGCTAAGATTCATGACTAATAATGTTTTTATATTTGTCATATTTTATGTAACAAGATTGAATGTGTGATGAAACTACCCATTTCTGTGTTTATGAATTGTTAATTTTGCCATGCCGAAGAATGTCTTTCAATATATCTTTATACTTCATGCTTATGAAATTGAAACTGCACTTGTAGCAGTGTTGCTTTTCAGATATATGGCTTTGACGTCAATGCATGTTTTATTCCCTTGCTTGGGGATCAAATATCTTTCTGAAGTGTTTAGGACTTGAGGGAAAACTTGCGAAAATTTTGATGGAAAAAGTGCAATTTGGAATGACTTTGTTTAATAGGAGAAAAGTTTGCTTACAAATTCTCTAAACCTCTATAATTAATGAAAATATTTTGAAGAAAGCTTTGGAAGGTCTAAAAAAAATGTCCTAAATTCACTCACTCTTCCGACAATTTCATGCCTTAAAAAGTCATAAGAGAAGCTTGAATAGAAAGAAATCCTGCATAGTGTGGTATTTGATTTGAGGGTTTCTATTCAACTTATGGATGAAAGTGAATTTCATATGCGTCGTCATCTTTGTTTTAAAAAGAATTTTGCAAACAACAATCACAGCGGGGGAGAGTTTTGCCATGCCAAAAGGCTCTTTCAATTCTAATACGGGTTTGTTTGTTTTGGTTAATTATATATAATTTTTGCATGGCAAAACTTTAGTACTTTTTGGCTCTGGTATCTCAATGCATGGTCTAGGCACTAAATGTAGTTTTACAGTATTTTCTAGATTGCTCACAAGTTTGTTATTGGCGGTCAGTGATGGTTGCCTAAGACAAGAATATCCTCTTCTCTTGTATAGGTTCAAAATCGATCATATTGTGGAAGTTAGCACGAATCAGCACAACTTCTTGATAATAGGAAAGTAGGCCGAAAAGCTACTTCGTGTTTCTTGCCACATTTTAGTGATAGAGGACGGATATGAGGATTCTTTCATGTTGTTGCCGACTCTGAAAAATTTGGTCGGCGAAACAAAAAAGTTTCAACTCTCTTTTGGAAATCAAAACAATGACTTTGGAAAGACAGACTTTATTGTTCATGGACTGCTTGAAGACCAAGTGCTCTCGAACCCAATAATTGCTCAACCAAACCACAAACACCTGCTACTACCACCGAAAAATAGATTATCAACCATTGATGCCTTTCCAATGACTAAATCATCAACCCCAATTAGTTGCGTCTAGCTAGACTTCAAAGAGAGTGTTGTTCCCTGATCAAGCGAAAAAATCTGACAGGTGAAGTTTTCATCTCAATTAATGTTCTCATGTGTATATCTTGATAAATATACTTGCCTCTCTTGGGTATAATGAATATGTTTTGCTGCTTATGAAAAAATGGCCAATCTTTTCACATCACTCTTTCGCACTCTTTTGTAGCTTATCGTGTTTCTTAACCTTATAAATTGTACCTTGATTCACAGCAAAAAGCTTTGCGGCAAACAAACTAAGACAACCAATTCTGCCAAAATTGCTAGAGAATTCACCAATTTGGTTGTCCCCAAAATTGAATCCACTGACAAAATGCCAATAGCCACACTCAGAACCAAATCTCAGGCCAAAAAACCAAATGTAAAATTACAATTTGTTTTTCACACACACACACACACACACCTAAAAAACATCCATGGTGGCAGCATTTATTAAACTATGATTTATGTTTTTTGCTATAGTGTGGAAGATGTCTACTCTAAAAAAAGTGAACAACCAGAGTCTTTGTGATCAACTGGTGCAAGGCATTCTACATGTTTTTTGCTTTGAACATTTGTACTTAAAAACTTAGCTGCTCGAACAAGAACACAAAACTTTTTATATTTTTTGTTAACTGCTAAAACAGATAACTGGCTTGCAGGACATATATTTTGTCATCTTAACTGCACAGTCAAAATATATGTGAATTGCATGGAAAAAAAAATAATAAAGAGATTCTTCCCTAAGAGCTTGTCCAGTACTAGAAATGCATCTCTGTTGCTTCTGTTTCTTGTGTTTCTTATGGAAACAAAGTATGTTTTGCGACCACATCTTTTGTAATCAGGATCATTCAACTTCGTCCTGCTAATTGTACAATGTCTTTTCATGTTAGCTAAATTGAATGTATATAAAAGCCAAGTTGCTTATCTTACCAACCCCATTCACTCATCTATCCCTGTGTTCATTAAAAGTGCGAACATGTTTCCTAGTGTATAACTATAAATGTTGAGATGTACTGTAAGTTATTAGTCAGTAATGATGAAATCATTTCTTCACTATTTATATTTTCTCTCTATAGAATACTTATGTGCAATGTTAATCGTGTTAACGTTAGATCTTATATTCGTGATAGATTGAATCATGTTAACATGTTACGTATAAAATTGTCAAATTAAAAGACAAAAGTAGAATTAAAACAGAAAATTATTACGGATGAGGTGTTCTTTTTCATTTCTTGCTTTTATAAATTGCAGAAGAATTCATAAACTTCATGCCATAGCCAACGGATTTGGACACAAATTCCTTTTCTCCATAGCCAAAAAAGAAAAAAGAAAAAAGAAAAAAGAAACATAAAAACAGAGTTTAAAGAAAAAAACATCACTAATCTCCATTATACTTCGAACAACCCCATTTCATTAACCAAATTCTAACAGCGTATCATATTTCTGTATCCGTATCCGTGTCCCGTTCAACATGCACAACACTCCTAGCATTTTGAGACAATTCACACCACTAGAGGCTGCGAAGGAGAATGCCTTCAAACGTGATCCCAGTTCCAAATGCCAAGGCAAGTCCCCATTCCTCTTCCCTCCCCTCCTTTTTCTTCAACTTCAACTCCTCCCTCATTATTTCCATCACATAAAAAATGGTGTTGCTGCTCACATTCCCATAGTCCATCAATGCCCTCCTGCTGCACTCCAGCTTATCACTGCTCAGCTTTAGCGTGCTCTCCAGCTTGTTCAGAATTGCCGGTCCGCCCAGGTGCACAGCCCAAAACAGCTCATTGAAGTCCCTCAGCTCCGCATTGGCCGCCACAACCAGCTTCTTGCAAAACACCTCTATGTTTTCACCGATTTTCTGAGGCAGGTCCCTCCCAAGCTTGAAGTTAATACCTTCCTCGAACAGCCTGCCGTTGATCACATTGAGTGTCTCCGGGAGGAACTGCTGGATGGCATAGTTGAGCTCCATGAAAGGAGACTCTTGCCTTGCTATTGGGTTGCTACCAATGATCACAGCTGCAGCTCCGTCCCCAAATAGCGCTGCCCCTACAATGTCGTAAGGGCGCGCCTTGTTGGGGGGCCGGAAACCAAGGATTGTGGTCTTGGAAATGGTTAGCAAGACGCGACTTCCTGGGTTGTTTTCAGCTGTCTTTGGAAATGCGGAGGCCAGTGACACCACCGTAACATCCTAGGAAGTAGAGCACGATGCGGCCAATATCGGTTTCTTAGGCCGAGCTTGCTTGAGAGGTATAGGTCGCCGCCAGGGAGTCTGATGTCACTTGAGGATACGTAGACAATGTGAGTGATATCTTCAACTGGCCTTCCCCATTCCTTGATGCAAGCAAGGCTGGCTTCCAAAGCCATCTCAACCACCGCAGGGTTTGCGATTTCGAGGCGCTGTTTGATGGTGGCTGTGCCCTCTGTTGCTAGCTCAGGGTATTTGTCTAGGATTTCCTTGGACATCACTGTGTATCTAGTCTTCACAGTAGTGGTTTTGCCTAAAAAAACAGACAAACAAATAATCACATAACGCTTCCAATCTGTGCATATTATGTATACCACATTTATTTAACCATATCTCTCGCAGAGGTGCAAAATGAAGCCATCAATGAAATTGATAAATATGGTACAAATAGTTCTATGATTTAGTCAAAAATGAAATTTAGACACAAGCAAGTAAAGAAAGAAACTTAAAACATATATAACATAAGCAAGTTTGCTTACACAAGCGCTCCAGTTTTTCCATGACAGTGACGTCTTCACATTTCGTGTCACGAATGTGGCCCTCGGCCAAGCAATCCTGCGGGATGAGTTGGCTCGGGAAAGACTTGCCCAATGCAAGGACGGTTGCCTTCCCCGGTGTAGGAGCATACCTAGTTGGGGCATGGTACTGCTTGGAAGAACGATTAGTACCGTTTCTCTTGACTTTCGACATCTTTGCTTACCTAGTTGGGGCATGGTATTGCTCGGAAGAACCATTAGTACCGTTTCTATTGACTTACAACATCTTTTACGAGGATGAGGAGGCTCAGAAAAGGAAGCTTTGTGAGTTTGGGGAGAGCTCAAAGGCAATGTGCATATAAGAGGGAGATTTTGGTGGAGGGAGATTTCGGTGGGTGTTGGGCAAGAGTTGGTTTCGAAGGGAGAGTCGCATGAAAAGAAAGAGATGTCTATTTTATTGTGGGGGGGGGAACAGAACAATCTTTTACTTTTGTTTTGTTTGGCAAAGGGGTGAAACAATACAATTAGTAAAGAGCATTTTGTCCTTTTTGTTTTTGTTTTTTGCCATCCAGGCACCGGCTAGCTGTTAAGGATTGGGTACATTCTTGTTAGAGAGCCTTGACAATCAAAATAGATTGATCTGAAAAAAGCATTTTCGTGTGCCCCCCCAACAAGGGATAAATTCTTCAGTCCCTAACACGGTTAACTGTATTCTGAAACCCCAAAAAAATCATCAGCTTATCAAATTATCTATCCAGCCAGACATTCATTCATTAGCACCAAACACAAGGGGGTGGGATTGTGTGTGCGATTAAATGGCGAACTTGCCCAATCGTCCAACCGCACACATGAATACGAACTTCTTATAATAAGGTAATGCAAAGTTGAAATATATTAACCACCTGTAACAAAGATAAGATTAACAGTTTCTCCTGACAAACATAAGGTTGCGGATTAAAGAGATTTTACAAAGTAATGCAACACCATGAATATTGGGTCTTGCAGCCTGCTTTCTGGTTAGTAAAGCAAGGACATGCTTCACCCTCTCAATCTGTGTGATTTCACTCCACAATTCTTGGCCATGTCCATTTTGTATGCACTGCACTTTCCGTTGAGGGGCCAACTGTTCGTGGGTTTTTATTTTCAAGCAGGTGCGGTTCTAACTGGGCATGAGTTTCGTTCAATGCAATTTGGAGTGTGGATGGATGGTATATGTCTATGTGAGCCGATGGTTGAGACAGGGGGTCAGGATGAAACTGAGAGAGAATGGTTAGCTGAATGCTGAGAATATGTTTTAGGACTAGGGTGGTAACAAGTGTATTTACAAGTTTGTGACGTGATCGAGATGATCTTAAAAACCCACCAGTTAGCAGCAACAAAAATGTTCCACCTAAACACACAATGAAACGAAGGAAAGTCAGATTCTGCATGTCAAGTTATTGTTGCTTCTACATACCATGTCGACAACAGCCAATATGAAGAAACTAAATAATCCTAATTATAGTCTCAGACATATTATTGTTGAGAGAGGCTTATTCACCAGCTGTCAACGGCCTGGGCGGTAAAGTTTTTGTAGGGGAATGTGATCAACTATTTCAATTTAAAAAAAAAAAAAACAGCTTCCTTCAATGACTGAGTTTTGTTCAATGTTGACAACGAAGTGTAATCCTGACAAAGAGAGATGATGTTGATACAGCGAGAAAGAAAGAAAGCAATTGTTTAAAAGAAGGGTTTCAAATTAGGTGCATAGGTTCTCTGGAAGGTGAAAGTTCAAGAGGAAAGGATTCGAATCAGTAGGGAAGCATAAAGGATTTAGGATTGAGATACTAGAAATTCATTTTCTAGTTACTGGAAACTTAGATGAAGTTAAACGCTGACAAAACAATAATTCTTGAGATTTAAATTTCTCAGAAAATGAACAAGCTCTAATATCAGTGAGTTGCAAACCTTGTTAGTTAGGATGCTTCATCCTTGGGAGCTCAAATGAGAGAAATCCATTAAGTTTAAATGATTAAGCAATCTATCACTGTATTTTATAAGTTTCCAAAAGATGGAAGATGAAATAAACATTTAGTATAGACATTGGTGGAAGAAGTAGTTCCGGGAAAGGAATAGTAATTACCAGAATCTTCGAGCAACTCAGAACGATGGGCTTGATAAGCAGTTTAACTCGTGTGCCATGCCAATAACACAACTTTTGATGCGAAGGAATTTTTCTGGAAACTCCACAAGATTATACAACCATGTTATAGCCCATTGCATATATTGAGAACAATAACATTCATTCTGTTCAGCACGCTCCTCTGCACAACAAAAGAATAGGGTGAATTCATAGAACATGAAACATTAAGTATGGACAGCATATGGGTACTAAACTCTAAACTTATACAGGACACTAGTGCATGATATGAGGATGCATAGAGACCACCAAACGTTTGAGATCCTTGGATATTTGTTTTTTGAAGGCATTACGCGCACATACACCAAGCTTAAATCTGCCTAAAGGGTCAAGATACAAAGTCCCGAGTTCGGAAAATGACATTCCATGCATGACAGAGTATTCTGGTGTTCTTTTAGGCTGTCTAACTCTAATGGGACTAAGTACAATGGACTTACAGTTGAGGTCTTGACCTCTGGGATTTGTCCAGCGACTGCTCTCCTGGCATCCTTTTAGATAGAAACTCAGCTTCAACTGATTTTCCTGCAATCTCCAGTGCAGATTTTAAGGATCCTAAGCACGGAAATTGCTGATAGCCTGCATTCTCAACCAGTTCATAGTACAAGCCGAATGCTTCTGAAGGTTTATTGATATTACAAAGCCCTTCGATGACTTGGTTGAAAATATCAATACCGACACTTTGATGCTTCTGCAGACTGAATTGCAACATTTTGCATGCGTCTAACAGCTTTCTTCTCTGGCAAAGAAAATCAACCACTTCTTCCATTTTAATTGAGTATCCATTCTCATGGAGCATCCCTACAATCTCAAATGCTTTGTCACGCAACCCACTGCTGAAAAGTAGCCTTACAAGATGTGTTGAGAGATTAATATTTTGTCTAATTTTTCTCTCCAGCATTAAAATAACACAATTGGCAGATTCAAGGGCACAATTCTTTTCTAAAAGTTCTGCAAGTATACAATGGAATGTAGACGTTTTTGGGAGATGAGAGCTTTTCAGCATCTTCTCTAGCGTCTGTTGAGCAAGAAGGGCCTTACCCATCTGCAAGAGACCACCAATCAAGGATTCATAAATTTCGACATCAGGCACAAAATCCCTTCTAAGCATCCAGACTAAGAGTTCATACCCGGTTTCAAATGTACCTTGCTTACAATGGCCCATGATCAAAGTCTTATAGGACACAGGGTCTTGCGTTCCTCTTCTCATTAGCTGCCTAAACACTGCCTCGGCCTTTTTCATTTTCCCCTTACTACACAAATACTCAAAAATAGGGTTATAAGAGGCAACAAGAGGCTTACTACCGTCATCACTTAACAGTATTTCTTTCTTTGATAGCTCATCGAACAACTCCTCTGCTCTACTGTAATCCCCTCGTTGACACAAACTGCATATCAAAACACTGTATGTAGCTGAATCTGGCGGGACCTTTAGCTCTGACATCTTTGCAAAAACCTTCAATGCTTCATCCAAGTTTCCTGCATTGCAATGCGAATGCATCAGTGTGTTAAACGTACAAGTATCAGGAGTAAATTCTCCACCGCTCATTGTTCCTTCCAAAATGTCTTTTATCTTATCTAGCTTATGCGCTTCACAAAGCCCCTTAATTAGAGTATTGCAGGTAATTCCATTTGGTTTCAACCCTTGGCTAGTCATCTCCTCCAAAACACATAAAGCCTCATCAATCTCTTGTTTCATACAATAACCTCTAATCAAGGTCGTATAAGTAACAACATTTGGATTCAAATCTGCACTTCTCTTATTCATGCCCTTCACCACATTATGGGCAATACCAACCTTCCCTGCTCTACACAACCCATCAACAAGAGTATTGTAGGTAATGACATCCGGATCACATTTGAAACGTGACATTTCTTTGAAAAAGCGAAAACCTTCATCAACCATGGAGTTCATACAAAACCCTCTAATCAAAGTATTAAACGTACAAGTATCCGGTGTAGCTCCATACATACTAACCATTTCATCATACACATTCTTGGCCATATTGGTCCGCCCCTTTCTAAGCAAAATCGACAGCAGACTATTGAACGAAATAACAGAAGGCGAAACACCAATCGACTTCATTGTACTAAAAAGCTTTATAGACTCTTGGAACAGCCCAGCTCGACCATAGTTCCTTATCAAGCTATTAAAGAACCGGTCCTCGAGCTTAACCGCCCCATTAGACTTCTTTTCAATCGAAAACAAGAAATTTCGAGCAGCATTGAGATTTCGATTGTGACCCAAGATTTCAAGCATCAAGAAGTAGGATTGGTCATTGTGAGAGAAACCCATTACCTCCGCCCACTTGAAAAATTGAAGGGCTTTGCTGGGGGCTTTGATAAGGTGGAGAGTTTGGTGCACTGTCGTTTTGGAGAGAGAGGAAGCGATTGTAGAGAGAGAAGATTCGAGCTCAGTTGACCACGGCATGGAGTCGATAAGCTTGGCCATATCCTTAGCCCTTTTGGTTTTGGGGGTTGACAATTTGGGTCGTTGGGTATTGTTCTGCAGTTGTTCATCGTGTTTGTGGTTCTGGGTTTTCTGAGAGGAACGGCACCTGGGTTTTGCAGAAGGATGTTAAATTTGTGTTTGGCTGGTGAGAAAATCGGGAAAGAAAATAAAGTAGAAGTTTTGAGATGACGTACCTGAGAAGAGAAGCTGGCTGAGAGTTGAGGGTAGGGCTGGAGAATTGCTGTCTAAGGAGTGCCAATGCTCGTCTCTGAGAAATGGGATTGGCGGCCATGAATAGCTTCTGGTTTCAATTTCCTCTCTCTGCCACTCTTACTTGTACTACATGGGACCCAGGGATTCTCCGCTGTTACCAATCCCGATCTATCAGCCGCTGGGGCCGTCGGCTTTTCTTATTCTTGCGCAAGAAAGAGAAGAAATAAAAAGGAGAAGGGAGAGAGGAAAGGATAAAGGGAGAGAGAGGTGAGGGGGAAGGATCAGGATCCTCTCCTGATTTTTTAACAGGAATCCTCATGACCAACAAGTGTGGACCGTTGGATTTAACAAGTGTGGGCCGTTGGATGAAAATCCAACGACTATAATTATTATAACTTTAAAGGAACCCTTTGTTTATAGCCGTTGGATTTTCATCCAACGGCCCACACTTGTTGGTCATGAGGATCCACATACAAAGATCAAGAGAGGATCCTGATCCGAGGGGGAATGGTGGGATTGAAAAGGATCGCCGGATCTTTTCTGGATCCTGTGACTGCGAGCGTACGATCACTTTTCGTTAGATACTATTTATATTTAATTTTAAATTTTAAAATTTGAAATGATTTCTAACTGTACGATGTACGATGAACGATCACGATCTTGAGATTCCTAGGATCCACAAGAAAAGGATCCGACGAGGATCATTTTCCTTCCATATCACCATATGTGACCTGTTAAAATTTCTCAAAATTCACACTCTCATTTTTACTTTTTAGACATTCTTATTAAATTTTTATTATTGATCTTTAATTTATTTGGTCCCAAACATTGTAAAGAGTGTGTATTAGAAATCTAGAAGTAAAATGTGTGTGATATCCACACACCCCTTTTTACTTCTCACACACTCTTCTAATTTTCGGCCGTTGGATCAGATGAATTGAAGAAGATCAAATGACAGAAATTAACAAGGGGTGTGAGAAGTAAAAATGAGTGTGTGGATAGTACAACCTGAAGTAAAAATAGGTGTGTTAATAACGCTACCCTCACGTTATTGTGTGCGTTTATAACTTAAATTCAACCAATCCAACTTGACAACTCTATACAGGCTCAATTCAATTTTAAATTTGATTGGACATGTATGATTAAGTAAACCCTAGACCGAGCCCAGTCCCACCTCAACCCCAATATTTATTAGGTTGGGTTGATGCCTTATCCATCCATATCAACCCAAACTCAATTTAAATTCTAGCTGAATTCAATCATCCACATAATATTAGTCCCACATAATATCGTATAAGTTACATATTATTGGGGCTAAAAAATATCATGCAAGGCCCAAGAGGATTGAAGGCCTAAACGTTCTATACGATCCATGCAATTTCATGACAAATCCAATTTATATAACACGTTAAGCAATGTTTTATTTAATTAACGTGCCACACCAAGCACATTCCTTTAAACCCAACATTTACCAAGCTCACATGGACCTTAGACATGTGGCTTAATGGGGCTTACTCGAGGGTTTAGGTGTGGAAGGTTACAGAGGTCCACAAGGCCCATGGAAAACTTTTCAATATTTGAGACTTTGGCCTACTTAGTCCAAGCCTAACTTAGAATGATCCCATGTTGGGTAAGCAATGTGGTATTTCTCTGGGCATTATTTCAGCTGTGCACTGTCATTAGCCTAACTCCACAACAACTTATATTTCCAAAGTATTTCGCTATTTCATTCACCAAAGTATGTCACCCTTTTTCCCAGCATCAAAACTTGTCTTCCTGTTAACCAATCTTTGCACTGGATTGTTTCACTTTTTAGCTTAATGAAAAAGTAAGCACAAAATGAACTATTGGCTTTCACCATTAGGGAAAGATCTAATGATTTCCTACCAAAAGTGTATTTATCAACTTTGACCTTTACATCGCTTTATTTGCTGGAAATAAGTTACTTTCAGGGCCCTATTTTGTTTGCTGGACATAATGCAACTTCAGTTCTTTGTTTTACCCGCTAGGGACAAGTTGTTTCCAGCACATCCTTTTATTCAACAGAAAATAGGGATAACCATCACTAATATAAATTGGAAACCCATATAAGAAAGAATGGAACAGACTAATTCAATTACAGTCAGGAGAGACACACTATGTTCAACTGCAAGCAATGAGGACAATCATTTCCCCTAACCTACTGGAAATCACTTTTGCCTGCTGCAAGCTTCCTGCACTAGCCACAAGCCTAGCCCTAAGTTTTCCATTCTCCTTCCTCCAATGTCTTCCTTCATTTACTGCAAAAATACCAATTCTACAAACCATACCCCTTCCAACATGTCTATTCAACCTTATGCTTAGGGAAGAAGAGATTCATCTTACCGCAGGAAATCCTTCTTCTTGCTGTAGAAACCTTTTCTTGTCTACTGCAAATCTTCTAGTAAGCCAACTCCAGCTTTAACCTTTCACCTTTCACCACTCATCTTCTACCTTAAAAGCTTCAACCCGACACCATGACTAAAAGCTCAACCACTACGCGATATCTCTTACGAATCATGCTCCAAAATCACAGTCTAACTACACCGAAACGAATCACACCACCTCATTCGCTAAACTTATGGGTCTTTAACTCCCACACCTCAAGCTCTTATGCCAAGCCTAGTTGTTTTAACTTCCAATGTTAGTTTAACAAATACCCCTCTAAGCCGCTGGAGCCAGCGGGGGAAAACACTTCATTAGCGCGTAGGGAAACACTTTGTCAGTGCTGAGGGAAATAATTTGTCATCACCAAGGGAAATACTTCATCAGTGCTGAAAGCATTCAACGCCAGACCAAGCATTCAGGACCTGCTAAAAAAACAACAAAGCATACGAGGACTTGCTTTTCCTTCGAGATGTTTTGGGCCTAGTCCTCGGTAACTCACAAATGGGGGACATGAAATTTTTTTATTGTCTCTTTGCAACACAAGCCATCACAGTCTTTGACACAAAACCCCTAAGCACAAATAGACTTTGAAATGATAATATTAAAATTTGTTGATGATTTTTAATAGGATGATGAATGATAATTTACCTTTACATTTCTTGGTGTTTCTCTTAAAAAAGAAAATGTAAATGACGGATTGCCCTAAAGGTTAGGATCTTCATCTTCAATCCATTGTATACCGCATTTAAATTCTTCTCCTCCCCTTTGTGTAAATTGGTATAAAATATTGCTTTTTCAAAAAAAAAAAAAAAAAAAAAAAAAAAACTGAAGCAAGTAATCTGTTTCAAACTCTTAGTTGACCTTAAAAATTACAAGCCTACATGGTGTGCATGCCGAGTAACTATGATCTAACTACGTTATTCTTGTGAATGCGGGCGTGCTAACTTGAGACTAAGCTCGATTGTGCAAGTAGAACAAAAATGGTGGCAATGTCCAATGCGCTACTAACTTCTGCAATTAAGCGACTACGGCCAAGGAAGGAACACCTCTTGGCCTAGGGTTGTGCCAACCTAAAGACAAGGTTGCTTTTCACTAAGAAGTTTGATAAATGGTTTAGCTTTCAATGTCCCAAACACGAAGTAACCTGTTAACACCTCACTTTGCCAGAAAGCTAATGAAGTGACCTCTTTAGACGAAAGAAATGAGAATTCTTCACCAGCCGAGCCTTAGATAGATAACCAACCAACCAGAAGCAATGTTGTTTACTTGTCCAAATTGAAGGTTCTCTTGAATCGTCTAGTTTTATGGCTCTAGTTCTGTTTACTTATCCAAACTGAAGATGTTGCCAATTATCAATACAATGTTGTTTACTTATCCAAACTGAAGGTATGTTGATAGGAAGGTTAGGATAGTTAGTATTTGCTTAGGAGCGTGAGAAGGATTTCACATAAAGCGAAGGTTTTTGCGTAGAGCGTTTTGATTTTTGTGTTGAGTTGAATGGGGCTTTCATGTTTCAAAACCTTGTGTATAAATAATGTATTCATAGGACAAGCCTAGGATAATCAATTGTAGAAGCAATTTTGATCGCATGACGTCTTTGAAACTTTATCTCACTTCCAGCATGCTAATCATCCCATGCTAATAAGGGACCATGTGCAAACCTTTGATGTAATCCCATCCTTACTTTATTAACCAAACAAAACAATCTTTATTGCATGGAATCTTCATTTAAATAGTACGCAACAGAATGTTGGCATGCAATCCCAATTAAGCTCCCAATTAGGTGGCCTCGGCATATTATGTTTTGTTCCAACCACAACTCAATGTAGATTGTGTTAATATCTGTTGATCCTAAAAACTACCAAGCCTACATGGCGCGTAAGCCGAGTAATTAATAAGCTAACTACATCATTCGATTGTGTGCTGGGCGTGCCAACTCATCAGTCGAGCTTGGCCGAGGAGTAAAATGTGTTGATGTCCCGTTGGGTGCGCTGCTAAGTTCTTGATCTTGCAACTGCAGCTGAGGAAGGAACACGTCTCAGCCTTCGGGTTCTAGAGCTTGAAGACAAGGCTGCTAGTTTTGTGAAGTTCAATATCAAATTCAGCTTTCAATGTGTCGAATATAGTAACCTGTAACACCTCACTTTGCCAAGAAGCTAATGAGATGACCTCTGCCAATAAGGATTTGAAAATCCTTCTCAACCAAACTTGGATAGGTAACCAGTCGGCCAAGAAATAGTGTTGTTTATCCAAACTAAAGATGCTCCTTGATCGACTGATTCTACGGCTCCAGTGCTGTTTATCCAAACTGAAGATGTCGTCGGTTGCCTTCACAGTGCTGTTTATCCAAATTGAAGATGTGTTAGCAAAAAAAGAAAATAAAAATCTCAAGGTTGTTGAGAGGTTTTGCGTTAAGCGAGAGTTTGCACAGGGCAGTTTGTGTGTTGAATTGGAGGGGTTCTCAAATGTTGCATGGTGTCTTGTATTTATAAGGATGAGTACACACTAGATGATAAGCTGATAAAGACTCCCAAGCTATTAAAACTCTTTCACCGACTTGAGCCTTGGATAAGCCTTTCTACTCCCAAGACTCTGAACTTAGTCAAAAATGCAATCAAATTTGATCCTTGTGTTTAGTCTTATCACATCGAATCCCAAGATAACCTGCATGCTTGGATTTGAACAAATAACGTTCATTTAAACAACCACTAATTATATATATATATATATATATATATAATTATATAGCTGGTAGCCTTTCACACGACATGCAGGCCAAGTTCATCATCAACTCAATTCATCTGACAATTTCCATAAATAACCTAGCCTATTTAGGTCTCCTATCTCACCATTATC